AGTGCGACAGGAACTCGAACAGCCCATAGGCATTGCGCGGTCATAATAATAACGGTTGCGCCATTTTATGCCCAAAAGATGGTAATCGGCTGGATTGATAGGTATTATTCGAAAAGCATTTTTTATATCAGTTTTTGCGAGAAAACAACCCGGACCTGCTCGTTTTATAAGTCGAATTGCATCGTCAACATTTGCATACCGAACCGATGTTTCAATGTCAGGTATGCCATCGTTAATCGATGTTCCCTTAGGAAAAGACAAATGATGAATTATGAGAAATTCGCCGGGTTGTTTTTTCGGAACCAAGCCCAGAGGCGAAACACGGAAATTTGCCAATGGTGGCGTAGAAAAGGGGCAAGCCGGCCTGCCTCTAATTCTTTATCTAATTTTGAGTCAACTGCATCTGGATTGTCTAAAGCCGACCGCAAATTATGTGCTTCAAATGCTTGTTCAGCACCATGAAAATGAAAACCCCTATAACTGCGGTACAAATTGTATTGCCCTATTTTATTGAAGTGTACCCCGTCGCGAAGAAAAGGTGTCACAGATGGTTGTGAAAAACCCCGATGTAGCATAAAAATACCTTAGGCATATGTTCCAATACCACTGTTAGGTAGTTATTCAGAACAAGGCGTGTTTTGTTGAAATGCCAATTACGCCAACGTGGAGTAACCAGGCAGACACATACCACCTTAACCTTATACGTTTCACGCAACAGAACGACTAGCTCCTCGATCTGTGAGCCTACCACCTCGGGTGGTAACGAGGATAAATCTTTAGTGCCAATTTCTAGCACCACAATATCAGGAGAAAGGCGTGAAACTACAGCTAGGTCATGATGCCGTAATTTTTGTACTGTGCGGCCGCCAATATCGTGTGAATATACTCGAGCGGTCCCTTCAAGTTTGAATATTCGGGACATACGTAAGTCGGACCGATATTCCAGATCAGACTTAAGTCGACGTACAAATGAATGACCTAGAACTAAAACTTTTGGGAGTGCCATTGGTGATTATTATCAAAGAAAAAATTGTTAGTTATATATAACTAAGAAAATATATAATTAATCTCACCTGATATAGAGACTTGAAAGTGAATTTATTGAGATTTAATGTTGATCTGTTCACCAGTATAGTTGTAGTCGAATGATACTTGCTTTGCATAGCTATCCATTTTATAATGATATCAACCACACCTCTCACCCCCTTACAAGCTTTTCGCGCTCTATTTTTAAGTATGGCGCGAAGCTAATAATATTAAGAGTTCTAATCTTTGTAACGGCTTAACACCTACTTCGCCATGTCTAGTTCTTGCTTATACAAGCACCTTAGATAAGACGATTTTACTCTGATAAATCACATTACATAAATTCCTTATTTTCTTCGCAAATATTTTGTTATAGTTCCCTTTGAGATATTTTTCAAATGATACTGTATCATTTTTTCGAATACCTTTTGCCAAATTTGGACCAACATTTACAAAATATTCATTAAATTTGTTAGCAATTACGGTTGGGTCAGAAAAATTAATATCTGAGTTCTTTTATTGAAACACGTCAGAAAGTTTTTCCTTCTTTTTATTTCTATTCAGTAGTTTATTTATTGTTTGCCATGTCACCTTACTATTGTTTTTGTATTTAATAAATTGATTTTCAAAGTAATCTTTTTTACTAATTTTAATTAAATGTTTTAATTTATTTTTGTAATTTTTGTAAATAGTTTTGTTCTTTTCACTTGGGTTTTTTAGACACTTTTTATAGAGTCTGTTTTTAATTCCAATAGACTTAGAAATACCTTGAGTCATCCAAGGGCTTTTATCGTAATTAATTATATTTCGTTTTTGCCGTTTTACTAAAGGAAAGCTTTTATCAAACACTTGTATTAGTTTATTATGGAAATTCTTGGATGATTCAGAGGGGTCATTGTCTTCAACAATAGTATCCCATGATATATCTTTCACAGAATTAGAAAATAATAGAAGACTGGCATTATTAACTATTCTTTGATGTTGCGAAGTTTCAACTTTAGAACTGTACATTTTCGTTGGGAAAGATGCAATATGAAAAACTGGAAGATGATCTGATATATCACTAAAAACTAATCCATTCTTACTGGATTCAATTTGTTCTAGATCATTAGTGAATATATTGTCAATTAATGTTGCGGTATGTTCAGTTATCCTAGTTGGTCTTGTAATAAGAGGCAAAAATGATGACGTAAAAAGTTGCTCACTGAATCTATTCGAAAAGTCACAACTTTCAGTTTTTAAGAGGTCAATGTTAAAATCGCCCATTAAGTAAGTTATTTTTTTTGACTTATCAATTTTAGTAAGAATTTTGCTTAAATTCGTTTCAAATATTTCAAACTTTCCTTTTGGTGTCGATAGATCGTGCCAACAACAATATTTTTGCCAACTGTTGTAATTATTTCAACGAAGAGCGATTCAATTATTCCCTCTTCGTTGAAATTAAGGTCAGGACGAAGTTTGAAATTTATATCATCAGAAATAAACATTCCAACTCCTCCGCCTTTTTATTGTTTCTGTTTGAGCTAATGAAGCTACAATTTTCTAACTTAAAATCTGTATAGTTTTCATCATCAAGCCATGTTTCTGTTAAACTAATTATCGAAAATGAGTATTTAAGTGATTCTAACAAAAATTTGAAAGAGTCAAATTTGTTTACTATATTTCTTATGTTTAAATTCAAAATAGAAAATAGGTTATTATTACTATTTGGTATGTCACGCGAAACATCATTGGAAGGTAGTATTTGTATGTAATATTATCAATGTTAGGAAGTATGTTGTTGTCGTAATCAACATTATCAGTAGTTGTGTGTGAGTTATCAAAAGGGTTGAATTTAAGTTGCATCAATCTATCCATATCCTCATCACTGGGAAGTCGAGAAAAATCTCCAAAAGTAAAGTTAAAGTTTATATCATCTATTGAGCTAAAAGGTAGCGAGTCGCTTAAGCACAAGTGGCATGTTTCGATTTCCGTTTGTTGACATGTGAGAGGCGATTTAATGCAGATATTCTTAGCATGAAACCACCTCCCACACAGCGCACAAACAATGCCGCGTTTATCAATGGCTATTTCACAAAAACATGCAGAGCATATTTTTTTGTTTATGTTTATAGAAGCCATTTAATTTTTTAATCAATTAGATAATAAAATGCGTACTAAATATAATTGAGCGATAATACCTTTAATTATTATGGGGAATAAACTCCACATTGTTAATATAAAGTTTATCACGAACCAAACGCACTCTCTGCTTTGCCGCCTTTGCTCTCCTCATCTCAGGGTAGAGGGTTTGACGCACTTTTTCAATCTCTTCAGGAAACTGTTCGGAGATACCGATCTTTGTTCCCCTTAATTTTTTCGCATTGAAGCGAATTTTATCCCGATCGGGGAAAAAATTAAATTTTGCAACGATGGCTCTCGGTTTTCTGCGGCCATCGCGTTTCCTACCAACTCTGTGCGCTCGATCGATCTTGATGCTGCTTCTTGCTTCTGGCATATCAAGTTTTTCCTCCAACAAGCTATAGATCACTTCAGTGCAATCTTCCTCTTCTGCTTCATCAATATTGTGGAACAACAGGTTATCCCGCATTGATCTCGCTTTGAGGTCGACCACACTGTCTTGTAACAGCTGATTCGAATCTTCCAGTTCCTTGATCCGTGTGTAGTTTTCTCGCTCCGTCTCCTTTCTTTTCACCATTTCCTCCTTCAAAACACTAATTTCTGCATGCGCAAACTCGATTGATTCTGTTAGGCTTTTTACATTTTGCTCAACAGATAATATACGCTCATTAATCAAATCGAGCGTCTCTAATTTCGCCAGCACAGTCTGCATCATTTTGTAAAGCTCGTCAATCTTGCTCACTTCGTCTATACTTTCTACTTTTGTTTCTTTCATCGCCTTAGGTGTCACATTATCGCTCTTTTTAGCTTTATTTGGTGAGTTTTGGACAGATTTTGCAAGTTTATGGCCTGAACTTCAGGTTAACTTAGCACAGTTTATCTTACAACTCAGGCGAGACTTTTTTTATTCATTGGTTTACGGATCCGCCGACCGTAAATATTCAGAAAGTGAAAAATAAAAAAAAAATTGGATGTCAACAATTTTACGATTTTAGTTAATTTGGGATTCTGACATGAAGTACACGTCAAGTAAACTTTGACTCTAAGTACTCGTGGCTCATGTTATCGTTGTGACAATCTTGAAAAACAATGTTTTTTTAAATTTTTTTCCGACCTTCCGACCTGTTTTTTTCCAAGTAAAATCCGTAAACCAATAAATAAAAAAAGTCTCGCCTCATAAGTCACAACAACAAAACATGGAATTTAATTATTTTTCGAATGACGTGCGCCGGTGAATTTGGCGGGAAACAGGCTGGAAAAGCCCTTTTCAAAGAGAAGCCGCGCGAAATAAAAATGACGTCTTTGAAAAGGACTTTGCGAAGGTCCAGCCGAATTTGTCAATTGGCGATTGTTTACACTCGATAATTTCACTCTTTCAAATGTGTGATCTCTGTGCCTTCCGTCAGCCGTTCGCTGAGATGGGTTGTTTCATGTTTTACTTATGGAGTTAACACCCATATGTGATGATTTGTCAACTTGCTATAATCTAGCTTATATGTAAAAATTCTTTATGCTCCCGTATAGTGACTCCAGGGAGGCACAATGTCGCGGTTTGCCAGACATGCCAAGACTGAGTATTGCAACAAGTACGTCCGATGATAACAAAGAATTTTTGTGGACTCCGAGGAAAATAACTTAAACTTCTTATTGTGGAAGTTCGGAGGAAGATAGCTCAGATGCAATTCAGATTAATCCAATTGAGCAGCAGATGAATGAATTGGATACCTTAAGATCATTAGACAGACTTTCTGGGGGGACGTTTTCTCCCTTAACTTTCCATTTAAACTGTAGTTGGAGCGCAGCATCTGTTGAGGACAAACTGAGATCTGTGTCTGGAAAAGGCGGAAGAGGCAATGAACATCATTTGTAACATCATTTCACCAAAAGATGAGCAAAGTCTATTTCAGTCATTGTTGGACAGTTCTAGTGAACCTAGCGTTTCGCAAGATCTTGATGCTCTCATGACAGCATATGCGAATGCACCAACTCGAAGACTAAAGCTGCAGATTTTAAGCATACATGCACACAGGTATCCAGTGAAAACCCTTATACGACTACACGAGCCATATGCCAAAGTCACCAAGTGGCAAATGAAGCGCGTACTCATGCAAAACTATACGGTCCAGGAACAATACAAGAGACTAAAAAGTCACACAGGGTGCGAGTTGATGCAGCAAAGCTTGACCACTTTATTGACTTTATCAATAGGTCGCACTTTTACCAGGACGTTACCTATGGAGTACGTGAGTTAAAACTGGAGAGCGCCGAGCGAATAGAAATGCCAAACATCGTGCGCATCATCACTAGATCAACCATGGTAGCCATCTACATGAAATACTGCGCAGAAGAAGGCTTTACTGGTCCACTTAGTCGCCGCACAATATTCAGGCATGAAGCCTCTCAGCGCAAGTCATTGCGAGGAATAGATAATACTGCTGCTGATGGAGCGATGGGATTTCAGACAATTGAAAGAATAGTGAATGATCTTGAACAAGCTGGTGTGGACAGCGCCTGGGCAGAAGAAACGAAAGAAAGATTGAAAAATGGGAAAATATACCTCAGAGTCAAATATCCTGTTCATTGCTCAATAGAAAGCAGTCTTTGCAAAGATCATTGTGTGAACTTTGGACTCAGCGATGCAAACGAAAAATGTTTCCAAAAGCCATGTGGCCACAAACATGAAATGAAATGTAAAGAGTGCGAAGATTTGAAAATGGTCTTAAAAGAGATCGAGAATATGATTCTCAGTCAGTGTTCCGGCGATCACGCCCAAGAGAAGAGAGAAGATTTGCTGTATGATCTGCGACACGCCTCAGAGGACGTGTTTTGGTGGGATGCGCATATTCTTAGATCTGTGAATCAAGATAAGGCGAAGGAAGACATGATAAAGAGGCTTGATGAGAATACGGTGTTGATTGTAATGGACTGGGCTATGAAATTTTTGCCGACCAGGTATCGTGAAAAACAGTTTCAGTGGTTCGGAAAGAGAAGCCTGAGCTGGCATATAAGTAGTGTAATCTCCAAGGTTGACGGAAAATTGCGCACACACAACTACAGCATGCGTTGGCAAGATAGAAGAAGCGAACAATTCCTTAGTGATAAAGAAAGTTAAAGGATTTAGCACAATTCATAACTTTCAGTTTTCTCTTCTCCAGTCATCTAGAAAGGTCGTCACTACTTGAGGTCGTAGAAGGGCAACATTTTTTTGAAAATAACAGCATTCGTGAATTACAAATCAAGAATAGAATGCACAGCAAGTTCCCTCAGACATGATGTATGAATGCCCTCAACCTGGTTGCAAGCAAGCTTTTGACTCCCTTATTCAATTAGAAGTTCATCTTGACCTTGGTAGCCATCAGCACGATACGCAAGAAGAATCAGAAAGTTTGTATGACACCATTAAGCTACGTTTACACGCTGCGATTTGTCGGGCAGATTTTGGCAAATAAACGTTGCCCCTTCTTCGACATTTAGCGATTTAAACGTTCAATTGAAGCTGTCCGCTCTCTCGTCTGTTCATATTATAGTTTTCTGCGTGCGAAAAGTTTTCAACAACTTTACAACGGAAGAAAAATCGTTGAATCGTGAGAAAAATCTGTGCTTTGCTACAGATTTTTCTCCCGATTTCGTGAATCGCAAGGTGCTGACGCGAGTACTCACGACAGGTTATTTACATACAACGGGCAAAACAAAGAATTTTTGCAAGAGAGGAATGGCTAAAAGCTAGCCAAATTAAAGGATTTTTCTCGAGACTTGCTGCATCCAGGAGAAAACAGATGCTAGATAATTCTCTCGAAGAAATAAGTGAAGAAGATGTTAATGAGGTCGAAAATGAAATAGAGGAAGAAGAATTCTTGTCGTCGGTCCATAAGCCATTGGTTTAACGCATCCAATCATGTATGATAATTATAATATTTGCAAGTACTTTGTTGATCGTAAATTGAACAAATTTACTGTTCCTTTATTAAAGGGAATGCTGACAGCTTTTGAAGTTGAATATGATGCCGCTGACAGGAAACCAAATCTTCTTCTCAAGATCGAAGAACTGGTAAAGGAATGTAGTTGTTTTTCTATGCAACAACTGTAAGCACCACTGGATCGCACTTAGATTTACATTAATTTAGATATTTACTTTGTGAATTTTAATGCCTGATTCACCACTCAAATACTGAAATGAACACGTACATGATTTGTTATTAAATATTATACGGTTTGACAAAACAGAAAGCAAACACTTATGCAAATGATTCACGTAATTTCTGAAATAAACCCTAAGGAGATTTAGTTAGAATGTCTTTTTTGGTTGAATTTGAACATTTAAACCCCGTTTGCCGCTTCACCGTTTTGCTCGCAGTCGGCAAAATTTTGTCCCGCCACCGCAGTTGTTGAAAATTTTTAACCTGGAAGAGCCTGGCTACAACTCCTGCAACGGCCAAGCGAAATCAGGTTGTTCTAAGCGTTTTCTTGTAAAGCAGGCGGAAGTAAAATACCATGATGTAAACAATATCACTGAGTTGTCAACACTAAGATCGTATGTGTCTGGGGAGTTTTGAGCACACTTGCTTCATGGATTGTGATATTACTTTCCTAGCTATGTTTATCCCTCTGTGTTTAACTTTGCCCTCTGGGAGGAACCCAATCTCTGGGGAAATTGAATTTTTCCTGTGCTGTGATTGGTTTATCAATAGTGCATACCGATAGTTTATCAATAGTGCATACCGACAAAGAACCGGAACCCCTAAATTTAGGGGTTCCGGTTGTCAATTACCCCAGAACCAATGCCTTCCTAGCCCCAATCTCATCCTAGCCCGCGCACAGGCATTGCTCTGGGTACGAGACTGGGAGGAACCGAACTTTCGAGTTTCGACAGAGCAATGACAGACTCTTTTCACATGAGTACGCGTAGCAAGAATCGAACCCACGATCTCAGAGGTGAAGTGTTGGGGTTTATTATTATTAAGCTAGTTCCTTAGGGCTAGTATTATAAGAGTAATATTACAGTTATCATAACATTGTACTTCTTAAAACTCATCACAAAACGCAGGAAATTAGCATTTCAGAGTTTTAGTCCAAAGTCCAGTCCTAGTCCAGTCCAAATTTAGTCCAATCCAGTGTTTACAATAAGCCGTTCTGTAATACGCGTGTAATTCTTGGAAGAAACGTCGCGTGCAGTAATTCTTGGAAAAATGTTTCATGTAATTCTTGGAAAAAACGTCGCGTATATAGTTCCTGGAAAAAACGTCGCGTGTAATTCTTGGAATAAAGTCGTGTGTAATTCTTGGAAATAATGTCGCGTGTAATTCTTGGAAAAATGTCGCCTTTCTCTGCGAACCTTTGGCCACAAAATAGAACCTTTCGTTTAGTATAATTCTTGGAAAAAATGTCGCGTGTAACTTTGAAATAAACAAACGACTGTAAATATGAAATAATGGGTGAATGTTTATGTCATTGTCCTTCTCGGCCATCGTATCTTTGAAAGACTTACTCGTGTGGGCAGGGGGTGGTTGGAAAAAAAGTAAAGATGCTGGGAGAAATTTGAAAGTATGAGCGTCCTCAGGGGTAGCGTCGTATGCATCAGCCTCTGAGCCTCGTCCTCAGGCCTACGCGGGACTGGCGATGACGAATGCTAGGGCATACAGGCTATCGAGTGGGCATGCTCCCCCCCAAAAATTTTGAAATTTAACAAACGTCATTTCATACCTTTGGGGCTCTGGGGGGACGAATCGGACGATTATACAGAATTGTGATGGTCAGAAAATAGCGTCTTTTAGACTAGCAAATTTTTTAAAGTGCTCATGCTGGTCTTCTACGTTTTTTGTTCTTACTCAACATGATTTGAAAGCATTTATTTTCCCTACAAAATTGTCGTTTTCAAACATTAGAGGGGTGTCACACCTCCTAAGCCACGCCCCCTGTATTGACGCCTCTGGTGGTGGTTAGCACTATTTTCCATCCAGCAAACCGCCCTATCGATTTTCTAAAGTCGTTTTTTTTGGATTTTTTTATTAATTCGGTTAGGGTTAGGGTTAAGGTTAGAGTTAGGGTCAGATTTAGGGGTTAGGGTAGGGTTTGGGTTAGTTACATAGCCATTTAACACCTCTTACATCTTCCGAAAATGACGTCAGGTCAGTTTGCTGGATGGAAAATAGTGCTAACCTGAGTGAGTTGAAAGTGAAACCTGCTACACTTGAACAACAGTTTTATCGATTTTATCCAAGTTCTGGCTGTTCAACTGAACGTAAAACATATTTGTCTTTAATTGATGATGTTCTTCCGCTTTGTTATCTGTGTTATGTTCTTTCTCGTATATTTGGCGTTGAGTAAGTACAAAATATAAAATGGTTTGATGTCATTTTAATCTCAGGCAGTGTAAGCATATCACAATGCTGTAATTCAATATATAAATTATTTGTAAAAATTTGCCTAATAAATAATATTTAACACAGTTACTGTAAAACCTGTTGAATTCGGACACACTGTATAAAATTCTTAATGGCCACACCGCACCCAAGCAACCTGAGAAATACAGAAACTGATTTAGCACTCCAAAGCCGAAGAAGGAATTTGGTTTCCGCTTCAATGGTGCCGTACTTTGGAACAATCTTCCTTATGAGGCAAAAACCACTACATCTATTGTGAAACAAACGATTTTGAAACAAACGATGAGTAGCACTGTTTATTACCAAAATTTAATACGAACACGAATAACTTTTTACGAAAGAAAAGAACCTTTGAAACACCGCTCGCGAAAACGAAGCGGTTCGCGAAGTCGTTTATTATGGCATGTATAGCAGAAAGTATAACAATTGATAAGTTAGATAACGTTTTAAGACGCCCCAGCCAAAGATATCATAGTTTTGTACATACTATAGTTTTATTGATGTCTTAATATGTATTTTAAATCACTCTTGTTAAAGTAGCGCAATTCAGGGCCATAGCTGTAATGTCACTATTTTTAATAAAATGTATGTAGCTATCAAAAGGGAAAGCGTTATTAAGCATAATATGCGAATAAATTCCTTCTAATATATTGTGATTTTTGAAGCGACTCATGCGTTCTTATATTGTGTCCGAGAAAGCGAAACTTTTCGCTTGTAGTAACCAATGGGTAACAAGAAGCGAAACTTCTCGCTTCCATACAGCCAATGGGCAACAAGAAGCGAAATGTTTCGCTTCCATTCCCACAACACATATATATGTAGTAACCAATGGGTAACAAGAAGCGAAACTTCTCGCTTCCATACAGCCAATGGGCAACAAGAAGCGAAATGTTTCGCTTCCATTCCCACAACACATATATATGTACTATTGCTGTGTTAGTAAAAGAAGCGAAACTTCTCGCTTCCATACAGCCAATGGGCAACAAGAAGCGAAATTTTTCGCTTCCATTCCCGCAACACATAATTGTTGTGTTAGTAAAAGAAGCGAAACTTCTCGCTTCCAAGACAATGGGCAACAAGAAGCGAAATGTTTCAATATGAACTAAATTCCACTGTCACCATTGTAATCACGCGAAGATTTAAGGTCCATACACGCCCGACGCGATTGGACAACGCAACGCGATTTTTCGATTTTCACTGAACCATAACTTTGATCCTAGTTTACATTTCCCAAATATTTAGAAGCGCTGTAACATTTTGAGTTATTTTGGCTACATATCATTCAAAATTTGCCCTCGTGCATTGGCTGTTTTATTAACTTTCAAAAACTTAGCTTAAAAATCGTGTCGCATTGTCGAATCGCGTCCGGTGTGTAATATGTATGGACCTTCAATAATCACAATCAATAATCCGCCCGGGGCCATGCGCGGTGTCTACACGTATACTATAAATAATATACAGAATTGGTGTTAAAACCGTCCAATATCGTTTTTATTTATCCAAATGACCTACTTATGGCGACAAAATTAAGAGACAAGTTATGCTTTGCATGGGCTGGCGATTTTGAATGTCTAAAGCGGTTTGTTAGCGAAGATCTGCAGTTCAGAGGAACATGCATGGTCTCAACCTGGCGGTGACAAAAAGCTGTTTACCTTTGATGATTCAGTAATAATATGGAGAAAGAATAAAAACTTGTTGTATCTTGATGGCGAGAAAGCGAGCGATGTTATGAAGGAATTATGCAAGCAGATATGTAAGCAGGACGAGGACATTTCAGTTGCTAAGCAATCAAGCATGCAAGATGTTTGTGAAGCCTCGAAAATCTTAAGCTTGGCCAATTAAGGGAAGCCTCACATATCGATTTTTTCCACGAGAAACGTCATATGTTCGTTTGGGGGTTGGCAGCTGTGACGTTTCTCTGTAAACATGATGGAAAAAATCGATAGTTTTTATCTTTGCAGAATATAAAAAAAAACAAAAAAACAATTTGATACAAACAGCAGTCTACATATTCGTAATACCATACCTGTTCTATACCTATACATTTATATTATTACGCCTTCCTTGCATTGAAACGGCATGTTGTAAAAGACGGACTGGACTGGACTGGACTGGACCGGACTGGACTGGACTGGACCGGGAAAACGCGGACTGAGTCCGTGTTTTACAAATCGCGGACTGAACATTGAAACGGCATGTTGTAAAACGGACTGGACTGGACTGGACCGGGAAAACGCGGACTGAGTCCGTGTTTTACAAATCGCGGACTGAATTTGTAAAACGCGGACTGAGTCCGTGTTTTACAAATCGCGAACTAAGATTGCTGCGATTTGTAAAAGGCGGACTCATTTACTGAATGAACTAAGGATGAACGGTCGCAGTAAAGTATTGTCTATTCTCATGACGAAGTTCAATGTTTTTACCGAGAAAGTTCAATGTTTTTGATGATCATTTATGGTCATTTGGTAGTTTCAAAGCTTGGATCTGGTTGTTCAACGGGTTAAAATCAGATCAGAACTTGTCAAGTGCTCTTGACAAATATCGAAAATTCTCACGCGAATAGGCAATGTTTTTATCAACGACCTCACCGTTCATCCTGCAAGCGACGGTACATGGACTCAGTCCTGTACTGACTCAGGAATTGCACTCAGTCGTGAGAGTTTTAGCGGGAATTGCGGATATTAATAGGTCGGTCAAGGAATAATCATATCCTGGAGCGAAGGTTGGTAAAAATTACTATTATTTATTTATTGTTTGAAATAAACTGATGAACAGCGTTCAATCTTAGGAGCACGCTCAGCCATGTGGGACTTTGTGCCACTAATCTATTGTCGAGGAAACTCGTGCGTATATCAAGTGTGGCCGTTGCATGTCGCACGCTCAGCCATGTGGGACTTTGTGCCACTAATCTATTGTCGAGGAAACTCGTGCGTATATCAAGTGTGGCCGTTGCACGGTAAATAGTTGTATGCCTGTATAGATATAGCCGCTAGCTCTTATAGCAGATACCATTTAGTGTTAATCATAATTAGAAGAAAATAGAGTTAATTCGTTTATTCAGTTGTGTTCGTGGCGAAGAGGGCGTATTAAATAAAGGTGTCTACAAATTTGCGAGAAATATGAAATGAATACTCTAATCGAATTTGCCTTTTAAATATTTGTGTTATTAACTTTTATTGTTGTCATACGACGAAGTTTCTAAAAATCGTTATTCGATTATAGTATTCATTTCGAATATTTCTCGCAAATTTATAGACACCCTTTTACACCCGTTTTCAAAATTACGCGACCTCCCTGAAAAAGGCATGTAGTAAAACATGGCCTGAAAAATACTCTTTACTTCAAATGTCAATTTTATGTCACAAAAACTGCTAAAAATAGCAAACGTAAACAAACTGTCAAAAGACATTTCAAACCGTATTTAATACCAAAACTGAACAAAAATGAGTTAGATACAAGCACAATACAAACCATCACAACAGAAATATGTGTCGTGAATAACTTTTAAAGTTTGAAAAATAACAATTTATCCAACCTCGTGGTTGCAATTTATCCTGGAATACAGCCTAGACCTAGGCCTTCTAGTCTTATTTATATTTTTAATATTCAGCGCTTTTTCACAGGAAAAGACTGGGACTAGGTGATTTGGGGGCGGGGCGGAGGAAGCAAGCCTAGAAGGCCTAGCTGATTTCCCAACAACAAGGCCAAAACTGCCCTGAAACTGCCCTGGTTGCGAAATGCCCATTTATTGCGTTCTCGAACAGAATTATTTACAACTTAACGGCGAATTTAAACCGATACAGGTAAAATAAACTCATTTATAGTATAAAATTACTATTTTTATTTGTATACACAGATCGGAAGAGCGTCGTGTAGTTTTTTATCATAAAGTTCGAAGCAACGCTATTATTTAATAATGTTGAGAAGGTGTAGCGAAAGCACAAAATGAGTCAAAATATATACCAAAAGTAGAATCTTTCATGAACTTTGTCTTATACACAACTACATTAATATAGATTTTCTCAATTTTGGCAAGAAGCAGTCTTGTGTTTGTAAAATATACAAAATAAAACGGATACATATATTTAATATTAGCCCGTACAGTACTGTATATAAAAACGTACATTGTTTACAAATGGTATATCCGTAATATTTGAACAATAATTTCAAAATCCTCATTCCCAATTCGCAAATATAGTTATTCAAAGCAAAACAGTAGTCAGTAGATTGTCTTGCGAAGAAAAGAATTATTATTTTGTGCTTTCGCTACACCTTGTCAACATATATAAATAGTGTTGCTTCAAACATTATGATAAAAACCCCGATTTTCTAGACGTGTATACAAATAAAAATAGTAAGTTTATACTATAAATGAGTTTATTTTACCTGTATCGGTTTAAATTCGCTGTTATAAGTTGCAAATAATTCTGTTTGAGAACGCAACAATTGGGCATTTCGCAATCAGGGCAGTTTCAGGGCAGTTTTGGCCTTGTTGTTGGGAAATCCACTAGGCCTTCTATTTTTTCGCTTGCGTCAGGCTTGTGTCCTTCCTCCGCCCCGCCCCCAAATCACCTAGTCCCAGTCTTTTCATGTGAAAAAGCGCTGAATATTAAAAATATATAAATAAAAATAGAAGGCCTAGGTCTAGGCTGCCTGGAATATAGGTGTCAGTATAAAACACGCGCGCGCTAGAACGGTGATCAGGGATGCCGGAAGTTGCTGAGGGCAAGGGGTGCAATTGGTTAACAAAAGGGCATACTCCATAACAAAAGGCACCAATGAAAATGAAAGTGCGTCATGATCCAACATTCGTGTCGACCTCCCTCCCCGTCACCAATTTTTTCGGACCGAATACAATTATTTAGGCACAATTCCTCCGTAATGCTTCAATAAAAAATCCATAAGTAATGCTTTCCGTTTCACCTTTCGCCAAATGGATAACAACTTTGCCGAATTCCTGACGACTGCGGGGTGGAACACCCCCACACACAGCCTCAAGCGACGTTTAATTCTGTCTGCTGTAAAAGTTTTGTGCACCCGATACACCCATTGAGTCTGCACCCGCACTGCACCCACAAAGTTGAAAAGGCAAGGGGTGCACTTGCACCCGCTGCACCCGTGGTTCCGGCTCCCTGACGGTGATGTTATGATTTTGTTTGTGCTTAAATTTTGCAATAATTCCCACTAAAAAGTATCTTGAAGTCATTGTAAGCCTGTTTATATAAAGCATACAAAGTATATACATCGGACAAGGAACTGCAAAACTCAAAGTTTAAACTTCGTGTAGTTCGTGACCGAATGACATAAAACTGACATGTCAACTCTAGCATTTTCGTCCTTGATCGCGTAATTTTGAAAACGGGTGAAAACGTTTGAAAACTCTTCGCCACGAGCGCAAAATAAACAAATTAACTCTATTTTAAGTCTAATTATGAGTAACACTAAATGGTATCTGCTATAAGAGCTATAATATCCAGGAGCGAAACTAGCCCCTTTTAATTCGGGGGGTGTCTGCCAATTCCTGTTAAAACATGGCTTAAACCCTTGTTTTTGGCAATATAAATTCTATAAATTCCCTCAACCTCGTACCCAGGGCTTCTGCGCTTATTGCTCTCAGAAGCCCTGGGATAATCCAACTCAGAACGTGATTTGATTGGTCAATGCGAATTTTGGCAACATGGCTGCTATCACAGGGAGTGTATACAAAAGTTAAATGCTGGTTTTTGCATGAAAATACTTCCTTAAATCAAATTCTGGGCTATTTTGAAAAGAGCAAAAGAAGAAATGGACTATTTGTATTTGTAAATAAGCAAGAATGGCGAACAGAGTAAAAAAATTAACATAATAAAGCGAAACATTTCTCGTTCGAAAATTGAAATTTCAATTATAAATCTACAACTTCAACCACGATATTCAATGTAAATATTACATAATAAAGTTTTTAATACCTTTTTTACCTTTATTTGATAAATTGCGTGTTCTACATTATTGCATTTTGTATTGGAGTAGGATAAATTATGAATTATACACAAATATTTAAATTTACAAATTATTCCCAATTTGAGGATGCTGGGTGCACTGGCTCAGAGTTTGTATTAGTGCCTATTTATTATTGATTATTAGTGCCTCTAAATCTCTAATGTACAAACATTGTAATCTGTCACTTAATACCATAAAGAAACTGTTGATAGCACATATATTAAATGACTATTAATCAAAATGAACTAAATTTCGACCATTATATACTTAGCATATTTCCCCCAATATTGAGGGAATAATTTCTCCTATTTATTTTTATAATAAGCCAATATTGCTCAACTGTGAAGTCAATATTGCCCGACTGGCCTAGTCTGCCCAACAATTGAGCCCCGCCCTGTACGCCTATGACCAGGCCTACAGGTGGACCCCCAACATGATTGGTCACAATTTTTATTTCTCCAAAATTTCCCCTCCCCATGTACAAGGATTGACAGTTTGATTAGATTGAAAAAAAAAACACAGTTATATTGGGTCATTCCAGAAAACACCCATACCACTCCCACAGAGGAAATTGAAAGTTAATCCCTCATACCCCTTTGGATGTCCTAATACATTTATTATTATCAGAAACAATTTTTCCCCCCTCCCCCTCTGAACGGCAGAAATTTCCTCTGTGGGGGGAGTGTGGATATTTTCTGGAACGACCTATTTGAGAAATGCTTTTGCACAAATTTTAAATTTTCTTACAATTTTCTTGTATGTCAGAACACTGTTCTAAGTTGCAACTAAAATTCAGAGGTCTAAAAGGCTCAAGTCAATTCCAGTGGTGTAACCAGAGGGGGGGGGGGGGGTCAAAATATTTTAAATGTTCTGAACTTGTTTGTAATTAATTAGAGTTGAACATGTGTTAACTGCAAGGTTATTTCAAATCACCAAAACACATTAAAATAGCCCCCCAAAATGGCACTTTATTAACTAGAATTTAAAAAGTCTACATTGTACTATATTATACATGGATAGCTTGGGAGTCCAAATATATTTTTACATACTAACAAACTTTATTCAAACTAGTGCAGGCCCCTCCTGGGGATTTCAGTCCCCCTTGAAGGCCTTAATTAGAAATTCTGGCTACATCACTGCTCAATTCCATTGCCAATGATGGTGTTAGCATGATTAGACAGAGTAGGTTAACAAACTAGTGTGTATTATGAGATAATCCATTGAACACCAATGATCTATCCCAACATATAAAATCATCTGGTGCAGTGGTGGATCCAGCAAAGTTTTTTTGGGGGGTGCTAACCAATGGCGAAACGAGCGCCGAAGGCGCGAGATTTCTAGGGTGGTCCGGGGGCATACTACCACGGAAAATTTTTAAAATTTGGGTCTCTGAAATGGCATTTCCAGCATTCTGAGAAAACATTCTGGAAAATTTTTAGATTCTCAAAACATTTAAAAATTCAGAATATTTAATATTGGCTATTCCACTATTGTCAACTAGTGATACGCAACTGAATTCCTTAACATAAGTTGGTTAGAATTAGGATAAACATCATTTTTGCACCCCCCCCCCCCATGCACCCCTGTTGACCAGAGCCTGGGGGGGGGGGTGCACACCAGAGTAAAATAAAAAGTAAGACACAATGTATAACTTAATAGGTAAGGTTAATGGCCAGAACTAAATGATAAACAATATTTTATAATAAACCCAAATTAGTTCAGCACCATTGGTTCTTATAACACTGTTCATTCCAATACTAGAACATCAGCAATTAACAAAAGTTGGAGTTTCATCCGATGACATGTATGCTTCTAACCATGCTGTCCATGCAGCTATCTGACAGTTTTTAATTTTCAGCATTGATTCCCAAAGCCATTATTCTCAAGATTTGCCAAAAAGGTTTTCCAAATATTAAAGTACAGAATTATATTACATCACTCATCACTGTTCATTTTACATTCTTCAAGTAGATGCATGTTTACAGTACAGTATATCTTGTGCATTTATAATTAAATCTTGCAATATCTTGTTCAAAACCCTCAAATCCAAGATAATCGGCAGCCAGCCATGTTACCAGTAAGATTTCTAGTCTGTTAATTTTGAAATGACCAAGGTTGTACTCGAATATAAATATTTATACTTTAATTATTGAATAGCCCCTGTATATCGCTGACAAGGTATGCTGTTGTCGCGATATAAGATGTTCTTTTGCTCGCCAAAGGGCTAATTTTACGCATAATTGTATCTCTAAATTGATCATTCCTGACTTTAAATTCCAAAAGCCACGCGAGAAGCAGTTTAAGACGTCTTTACAAGTCCAAATATATCATAAATTGCAACAAATAATCCATTCTCACTCCTTGCGTAAAAATATGCCCAGTCAGCGTTTTTAGCTGGAGGTACTGTTTACTTCCGCTTCCGGGGGCACCACTGTTCTATGGTGTTCCGGTTTGGATTATCCCAGGGCTTCTGAGAGCAATAAGCGCAGAAGCCCTGGGTACGAGGTTGTAAATTCCCTCTGAAAGCCCTGTAAATTACTTAACTCAACATTCTATCATTTAATTAAAATCTTTGATTTATTCAAAACAATAAATAATAGTAATTTTTACCAACCTTAGCTCCAGGATATGATTATTCCCTGACCAACCTATTAATATCCGCAATTCCCGCCAAAACTCTCACGACTGAGTGCAATTCCCGCCAAAACTTTTACGACTGAGTCAGTACAGGACTGAGTCCATCGGTACCGTCGCTTGCAGGATGAACGGTCGTTGATAAAAACATTGCCTATTCGCGTGAGAATCTTCGATATTTGTCAAGAGTACTTGACAGGTTCTGATCTGATTTTAACCCGTTGAACAACCAGATCCAAGCTTTGAAACCACCAAATGACCATAAATGATCATCAAAAACATTGAACTTTCTCGGTAAAAACATTGAACTTTGTCATGAGAATAGACAATACTTTACTGCGACCGTTCATCCTTAGTTCATTCAGTAAATGAGTCCGCCTTTTACAAATCGCAGCCCGCGATTTGTAAAACACGGACTCAGTCCACGTTTTACAAATCTTAGTTCGCGATTTGTAAAACACGGACTCAGTCCGTGTTTTCCCGGTCCAGTCCAGTCTCAGTCCTACGTTTTACAAATCTTAGTTCGCGATTTGTAAAACACGGACTCAGTCCGTGTTTTCCCGGTCCAGTCCAGTCCAGTCCGGTCCAGTCCAGTCCAGTCCGGTCCAGTCCAGTCCAGTCCGTCTTTTACAACATGCCCATTGAAACACTCAAATTTCTTTTACAACATGCCCATTGAAACACTCAAATTTCAAGAAAAACGCGCTAAAATTATCAATATTTCATGCAAAAAAAGCTGTTTTGAGAAACGTTGGAAATTTTGAAGTTCTATATATATTCATATATATATATTAATAAAAAGAGTATGTCAGCAGAAGATGACCTATTCCTCGCGGAAGCATCGCCAATAGCCGACCGAAAAAAATAGTAGAAAATTACCTTATGTGTACTCATAGTGTACTGTAAGAACAAAATATCGATAACTATGTGTGACGTTTCTAAGGGGGGGTGGGGGGGTCTCCAGAGAAACGAACATATGACGTTTCTCATGGACAAAATCGATATGTGAGGCTTCCCTAACCAATTCCGAAGCGATCCAAGCTATATCGGAATCGATTTCTAACATAGTACCAGTAATTCGCCAATTTCAAGAGTTTATGGATAGAAATAAAAAGATTCTCGATGATGAATTTCGGACTGAGCCAACAATTATAACGAACGAGTCTTTTGAATATGCAAATCGGGAAAACATCTGAGTAATGGTAATAAAGCTATGTATGCAGCCCAATAGTCTGTAGAGCTCAGTAGCTCACTTGGTGTCTTTTAATTTTCAAGGAAATTTTGATACAAAAATAGAATTTCAAGGAAGAAAAAAAGAATATATAAGGAATTTTTGAGAAATGTTTTGAAGATTTCTATAGCAATCGTTTTGATATAATATTACTTTCCATTGCTTTTAAGCACTGTGCGTGTCCACGTGGAAAAGTACAAAACAAGCTCATCGATCACTCGATCAGGAGCATGTGACCAAGTCATATTGAATTAAACTAAATAGGCTACCCGCTTTTACAGGCGGAAATCACTAAATCAGCAGTGCGAGCGAGCTACCGCATGTTATTAAACTATGAAATATTCATGAAGTATGTGGACGAAGATTATATCAATCACTCTACTACTACAGGGTGTATAAAAAAAAACAGAACAGATTTGAAATTGCTTTCAATTTCGCAAAACAGCTATTAGTATCCTGTTTTTGATATATATGGCTTCTTTGGGTACTTATAATGTAGAATAATGAAAAAATTTCGCGAACACAAATTTTGTAATTTCGCAAAACAGCTATTAGTATCCTGTTTTTGATATATATGGCTTCTTTGGGTACTTATAATGTAGAATATTGAACCAGGCTGGGGGTGTCTTTTCCGACAAACTAAAAATGGCTTGCGCACGCGATTTAAAAGCTATAATCGTATTTTGAGTTAATGGATGAAAAATCTGTTGGGTGTTTAATTGCTGCACGAAATTTCAGAAATTGGCTTCAGTTTAAGCCCTTCAACTATCCACGCAAACTTACATTTTTCCTAAAAAATCAGCAAATTAATGCATTTGCCCAATTTGCATATGTCAGCAATATGCAAATTAGGTAAAGACATAATTATAATAAGCATGCGAAAGACTGATTTTTAGGAAAAAATGGATAGTTAAAGGGCTTAAACTAAAGCAAATTGTCTGATATTTTGTACAGTAATTAAAAACCCAACAAATTTTCCATCCATTAACTCAAAATAGTGATCGATGGGCTTGTTTTGTACTTTTCCACGTGGACACAGTGCTTAATTAAAAGCAATGGAAAGTAATATTATATCAAAACGAGTTGCTATAGAAATCTTCAAAACATTTCTCAAAAATTCCTTAGATATTCTTTTTTTCTTCCTTGAAACTCTATTTTTATGTCAAAATATCCTTGAAAATTAAAAGGGACCAAGTGAGCTACTAAGCTCTACAGTCACAGGAACGCTATCTCGAAGCAGCACATATACAAGCTTTAGAAGTTATTTTTCCTATTAGATGAACCTCATAATCAATATTTTCATCAAAAGCCTTCGATTTTAAAGACTTGAGAACATTTCGTTTTGTTTTCAGGAAAATGAAAGAAGTTAGCGCATGGCCCCGGGCAGATTATTGATTGTCCATACACATTACACACCGGACGCGATTCGACAATGCGACACGATTTTTAAGTTTTTGAAAGTTAATAAAACAGCCAATGCATGAGGGCAAATTTTGAATGATATGTAGACCAAATAACTCAAAATGTTACAGCGCTTCTAAATATTTGGGAAATGTAAACTAGGATCAAAGTTATGGTTCAGTGAAAATCGAAAAATCGCGTTGCGTTGTCCAATCGCGTCCGGCGTGTATAGACCTTACTTCTTCGCGTGATTACAATGGTGACAGTGGAATTTAGTTTATATTTCATTGGTCTTTGAGAGCGAGATGCTTCGCTTCTTTTACGTCAACACAACAATGGTATGTGTTGTGGGAATGGAAGCGAAACATTTCGCTTCTTGTTGCCCATTGGCTGTATGGAAGCGAGAAGTTTCGCTTCTTTTACTAACACAACAATAGTACATATGTATGTGTTGTGGGAATGGAAGCGAAACATTTCGCTTCTTGTTGCCCATTGGCTGTATGGAGGCGAGAAGTTTCGCTTCTTTTACTAACACAACAGTAGTACATATATATGTGTTGCGGGAATGGAAGCGAAACATTTCGCTTCTTGTTGCCCATTGGCTGTATGGAAGCGAGAAGTTTCGCTTCTTTTACTAACACAGCACTAGTACATATATATGTGTTGCGGGAATGGAAGCGAAACATTTCGCTTCTTGTTGCCCATTGGCTGTATGGAAGCGAGAAGTTTCGCTTCTTTTACTAACACAACAGTAGTACATATATATGTGTTGCGGGAATGGAAGCGAAACATTTCGCTTCTTGTTGCCCATTGGCTGTATGGAAGCGAGAAGTTTCGCTTCTTTTACTAACACAGCACTAGTACATATATATGTGTTGCGGGAATGGAAGCGAAACATTTCGCTTCTTGTTGCCCATTGGCTGTATGGAAGCGAGAAGTTTCGCTTCTTTTACTAACACAACAGTAGTACATATGTATGTGTTGTGGGAATGGAAGCGAAACATTTCGCTTCTTGTTGCCCATTGGCTGTATGGAAGCGAGAAGGTTCGCTTCTTTTACTAACACAACAATAGTACATATATATGTGTTGTGGGAATGGAAGCGAAACTTTTCGCTTCTTGTTGCCCATTGGCTGTATGGAAGCGAGAAGTTTCGCTTCTTTTACTAACACAGCAATAGTACATATATATGTGTTGTGGGAATGGAAGCGAAACTTTTCGCTTCTTGTTGCCCATTGGCTGTATGGAAGCGAGAAGTTTCGCTTCTTGTTACCCATTGGTTACTACAAGCGAAATGTTTCGCTTTCTCGGACACAATATAAGAACGCATGAGTCGCTTCAAAAATCACAATATATTAGAAGGAATTTATTCGCATATTATGCCGATTGCCGCTATCAAAATATTCAAATTAGCCTGCGCTTAGCCAGCCAAATTCTCCGATATAGCTCGTCTGATGATCATGATGTCGTATTCCTGCATATACTGTACAAAGACGGACCATCCTTCAAGATGATCTGCATACGCATGTCTAGATCTGTGGGAATTCAAAGTTTGCAGATTCTTCGTCTTGACAAATGGTCCACATGCTTTCCACGTTTATGTCAGTAACAGAGGTTTATATAATACCTTTCTTTTCTCATGTTTGTGTCAGACTTTTAAATACTAAATAAGCAATGGTAACGAGTAGAGATTGCTGTTTAGTTAAAGTTGAGCTATACTGTAGAACGCGTATACGGCTTTGGCCGCTTTAGGACTATTATACTGTATTTGTCACCTTTCTTGCCACATTCAAATTACAAATTAGAGAAACATATACGACATCACTGTAAATTGCAAACGTGGACTAGCATGAGGAATTTGTTGCGAAGTAGCGGAATAGTTTGCTTTATTTTTTAAAACAATGATTGCAATAATTAATTCATGCAGCATGTACAGTATATACATAGACCATACAGTAGTTGTAGCTGACACTGCTGACTATATTTTTTGACGTAGCTGTAGCTGCCGTCCTGCCGACTACCGCAAAATATTTGTAATTCACTATACTCACAACCCCATTCACAAAGGCTCGCCGCGGTTTCTTAAATGTTAAGTGTCCTTTTCATACTCAGGTTGATAGGATATCATGCATAAAAACGCACTATCACTTTGCCAAACTACTGTATTTTGCCGACTTACGTTTAATTGTTTTGATCATAAATCATTATCGACAATCGGGCGGCTGTATAGTTTTGAATATTTAATTTACCTAAAGGCACACGTCTTGTGTTGTGTGACACACTACCTGACATACACAGTGACAATACCTCGTCCTTGCTGTCTATACTGGAGAAATTTAAAGGAGCACGCAATCACGAGAGCAGGCCTGAAGGGAAACAAGAAGCACGTGACTACATTATAGAAACTTTCAAGAAATATGGCTTACATGTCTGGACGGAGCGGGCGAAGATTGGAGGCGTAAGTTTGGCTGTTTGTTAGTTACTCTTTCTTTGTGTGAACGAATGGATCCGGACAAACTTGGGAACGTAAGATAAAATATTTATATTTATTTTCACTATAGAATTTGTTTGCTGAGAATATAGTGGGTATGATATCCTCAAACAGAACAGGAACGGCTGATGATCAGATAGTGATAGTGGGCGCACATTATGATACTACCAAGATTACTACGGGAATTGATGATAATGGTTCTGGTGTCACTGCATTGCTGCAAGTTGCGAAAAATATTGGTGAGCAATAACATGTGTATAATACGGTATTCATATACGCCGATATGAGAGCCGTCTTAATTGATATACTCGTTCGTCGACTTGAAAAAAAAGCTAGGGACCTTACGCTACGTAGGACGGCAGTGGGATGACGATGGCCAAAACGTCTTCAAATATATGTATTCTAAAAAAATCTTGTATTTTATCAGTCTGATGAATTTAACTTGGGAGGTTGGTATCTTGAAATACAGGCGTTGTAGCCTACCAATACATAACAATCTGTTGTTTTCTATTTTTGGACAGAATGTCATTGTATTTAATAGCCATGCTATTTAAACAATGATATTATAATAATTATTCTCAAAAGAGATTGTACGGGAGTGTTAGGCCCTGTTCACATGAACCCGGGACAGCCTTATGTCTCGGGGCAAGCAATTGTCGCGGGACAAAAATTGTCTCGGCTGCTTAGTAAAAGAATAGTGCTGTTCACATGATATTTTACTTGTCCCGGGACAAGAATTGACCGAATTGAAGAATTGAAGAGTGCCTCGCCTCTGTAGACAGGGACACTCGCCTAGCCGGGACAACTTTTCCTCATGTGAACACTTTGCCCCGGGGCAACTTTGTCCTGGGATAATTGAATTTTTGGTAAAACGATCAAAATCGCGGCTATAATTACATTTAGAGCACGTTGGACTTCACAAAACTTGTTATTTGATTGAAGATATCATTAGAAATCTATAACTGATGATTCTAATAATATTAAAATAAAATTGTCGCTAATATCATGTTTGAAACCAAGAAGTGTAGTATGTTACTCAAAGAATTTGATCTGGTCAATCAGAAACAATGAATTGAGGACATTTTATTACGGCTGATAATCAACTACGTTCTATTTGTAAATATCATAACATAAAATACGACTTCCGTTTATCAGAATGTTTTTTATTTAGCAATATTTCACCGTTTCACGTTGGCGGGAATATTTTTATTATGATTCCCGCGTAATGTATTTATAGCCATGACCCGCGCTAGCTTTGTTCATGTGAACAGACGATATCAGTACCCCGGGTCAATGACTTGTCGCGGGACAGTTGTTTATCCCTGGATCATGTGAACAGGGCCTAAAGGACGCGCCGTCGTCAATTTGCGGCCCTGCTACAACCGCTGACGACACTGTGTTTGCGGACAATGCTAAACCTCCAAGCAAGCTTTCAAAGGTCCGGATGGCGCTACCCAGTGGATTGCAATTTTTCAAGGTTTTTATGAATGGATGATATTGGATGAAAATTTATCAAATACAAATATGGACCTAAAATTAACGGTCAAATATAGAAAAGCTTGAGAAGCTCTGTGTATTCGGTGGTAGCGCAACCATGTGCTTTATAATACTGCCGATTAAAATTTGCAATATGTACTCTGAAACGTTTGTTGTTTGTCCTTATGTCCTTCACGCAGGAAAAGCAAGATGTGAAGTAAAGAACACTATATTATTTGTTGCATTCGATTTTGAAGAATGGACTGATGAGTGCAATGACATAGCGTGTGGTAGCAATCGTTATGTGAAAAACATCACCAGTTACCTTAGCAAATCAGGGGGCACAATCAGTGGTGCCATTATATTAGAAACAGTGCTCAATCATAATTCTTCAGCAGGTATGTGCTCTAAGTTGCAAGATAATAATACGATACGTATTTTTTATTGCCCCATTGGAGAGATTCGTCAAAACAAATTTACGTCACACTTGGCTGATATTAAGCCTGGTTCACATTGATCGGCGATGTTCTACGATCCATTGTTTGTGTACAACGAAGAAGAAAATGCACAAAACATTTTATGCATCAATGACCACCGACAATGGGCATCGCCGATGTTTACGATCAATGTGAACCAGGCTTTAGAGAGGCTCAGATTTGACTACCACTACCGCTACTACTCACAAGCTTAATACGCAATTGATTGGTTAATCGGATAGAATAAATGCATCTGATTGGTCAATGATGACGGTAGTGGAAGTCAAAATCTGAGTCTCTATAATACACAACTAAATACTCAAATATGTATGTGTTTTTATCCAAGAAAACCATCTGGAAAAAATCCATACGTACGCGCGTTGTGTCCGTAGAAAAACCATAGTCTATCAAGATATAATGGGCTGGAAACTAAACAGTTAAAACAGAAGTGATTGTGTTATGTTTTTGGTTTATGTTAATTGACCATTTGCGTAATAGACTAAATTTTGATCTAAACAAGTCTAGACAAAAATTTCATCACAGCTTGAAAGAGCATCACAAAATTAGTAATATTCCAAAGTTTCGTTGCGAAATGTTGTAAAATGCGGATAATATAGCCTTTCGAAATTTGCAATTTTCAGTCATTTGAGATTACAAACGGGAAATTGACAGTCCCGAAGGGTTTGGGGCTGTCAATTTCCCGTTTATAATCTAAAATGACTCAGTGAAAATTGCAAATTTCGAAAGGCTATATTATTCGCATTTTACAACATTTCGCAACGAAACTTTGGAATATTACTAATTTTGTGATGCTCTTTCAAGCTGTGATGAAATTTTTGTCTAGATCAAAATTTAGTCTATTCACGCAAGTGGTCAATTGGTGCTCAGTCGCGCGATTGCGCTCATCACCCAGACCTAGTGATGTCTAGCACCTCACTCCTAGAGAAGTCCAGCAGCATCCTAAATACTGCTTTACCATGTACATTATCTGCTTTTCGAATAGCGATTAGTGGAACTTTAGTTTACTGTTAGCGAGTGTCAGTTTCTTGAAACAATGCAATTGATTCGTGAGCTCACGAGAAAATAGTCCGCAGAATGCTTTAGTTAAAAATATCATGGTTATACCTAAAATCTCGGGGTACAGCCATATTTTCAAATATACTGTACTTTAAAAGCTGATTTACTGTACTGTGCTGTAGCAACTGTCCAGTCACGCATACGTGATAAAAAGCCGATGTGAAATTTCTAAACAAAAAGTATAGTAGGCCTAAAACAGATATTTAACTCATTATGCAAACTTTGATGTAAGTGTGTTTGCACTGCACATCGAGAAAACTGAATTATCATCGAAAATATGTTAGAGAAGTTACTTTACAGTTTAGACTGTTTTCAAGTGGCACGATAAAAATTGCGCCATGTCACAGTAAAGGTTCGTTTACACTTGGACTTTTTGCTCCACACCCTTAATCCTCCTCATTCAACATAACGGCCTCCTTTTCACCATTATGAATATTAATTAAACTCAATCCTCCTTAAAAGTCAGGGTTGAACGGTATCTATATTACTACTATATTAACGCTACATTGGAAATTATACGATGGATATGGTAAACACTGTAGTTCACTGACAAGCAATTATATAGTGAGACAGTTTTCTCTTCCTGTCGATTGCACTGAAGGATTGAATGCATGACATACTATAAGTACGTATAGCGCTACCACGGTGATACCCATGCAGCTTCTTCCGCGGTAAACTTGGTGGCAAACGATTGAATATTTTTAGAGGGAATGGAAAATTTTCGCGCCCAGCTGGGCTCCGATTTTCAAAAGTTGCCTGCGGAGGAAGCTATGCAGTACTATCCTTGTCTTTTTCTACTCACGCACATGCGTCATGGGAAAAAAAGCACTATGAAATTAACAGTGTGAAATATACAACGACAAATATCCAATGAAACATTTCTTGAGCAATATGTATAGCTATAAATCTCACACTTTTTCCCTTTAGCTAGGCAGAAGGAATGGATATTTTTCTTTCATTTTCACTAGATTCTGAGAAATTACCAAATGGTTTTGACAAGCTTTTACCTGACGTTTATAACGAAGTCAAGAATGACTCTATGCGAGGAAATTTTCTGGCGGTAACTGGAAGGAAAGAGTCGGATAAAAAACTTATTTCTTTAATTGCAAAGCATTTTTTGAAAGGTATATATAATCACTCATAAATGTATGGCCATGCATGATTAGGTGATGCAAAGGCTAGTACAGAATTGGAAAATAATTCTCTCACAAAAACATTTACGAGTTGCATTATAGTTCCATGACGTTTCCAAACGCTGAATCTATTCTAATTTTTATGAGACCTCAAGGTGCGATATATTTCAACATTTTTAGTTGTTCCTCTGCACTGGTATCCCAATGACTAAAAACCTCGCGGTACAAACTGACATTCGATGTGGAACTAGTCGTTATCATATAAAGTGTATACATGCATGCAAAGCTAAATATCGATATTTAACGTGACACTACGTCAATTGTGTGCGTTTGTAAATGCAATAGATGATTCCCCTGAATTACTACGTTTTCGTAGCGCTTTGCATTGTGGTTATAGTGGTATTACTGATAAAGATAGCAGCCTCGAATTATTAAAGCGAATGTCTACTTTTAAAGCTGATGAAGTTGCTATCTTTAGTCAAGATTTTGGTGTTTTTTCTGTAAAAATTAGTAACAGAACTTTAGGCAGAACTTTTCAGTTTCAGTTATTTTGCTCGCTTTAATATAATATATTAGATTGACAAAGTTATTGAATCTAGTTCTAGTATATATACCTGAATCTTACTTTAAATCTTGTAATACAACAAAATATAATAGGGATATATTTTTTCGGGACACAGTGTATGTAGGATTGTGCTCTCGTTGCTAACTTCCAACTTTTCAATTGCTTGTCACCCACATGATAGTTGTTCATGATTTACCTATAGCATACAGTATTCTTCCAGACGTTTCACCGTAACACACCTATTGACTCCTATAAATATCGTTTAAACAGATTCAAATTATCGTACGCAGTTAATAAAGGTTCCTATCAAAGGACGGCCAAGTTCATTTCCGGGTTCCGAATACTATAACGATCTGTATCGCAGTGATCACTACTCATTCTGGGAAGCAAATGCTTCGTACAGTGCCCTGATGTTGACAGATACAGCAGACTTCAGAGGTTACATGCAGCGATGTTATCACAAAGAATGCGATAATCTCAGTCATGTTAAGGAAGATGATCTGGAGTTCTTACGAAGATCAATCAATGCTGTCATTAAAACCGTTCTAGATCTCAGCGAAGTAGGTAAGTTGAAGGATGTGTAAACAATAAAACTAAAGTCCAGCCGCATGTTAACTGCCACAATTTTTCACTTTGATGATAAAACGCCCAGCATAAATTAAAATGTCTCAATTCATTTCTAAAGTAGTTGCAAGTGCTAATGCATGTCGTATTTTGTAAATAATTAAAATATTATATAAATTAATTAAGTAAATGGAATGATAAGAAATATTCCCCGAGCCGACGGCGCGAAGCGCCGTGCGAGGGTACTAATTCCCCCCCCCCCCCGGCTATTTACACCCGGGGAAACGAAAGCATTAGCGAAATCTAAAGTTCATCAATTATCGCGGACGCTCACCAACGATGTTGGGGTGTTGGGTGGGTGGTCATCCTCACTGTTCTCAAAATATGGCGGACTGTCATGAATAGCCGACACTGATTGGTCCAATTTAAAGTTTGCATTATAGCAAACGAAAGCAGAGAAATAGCAAACAATTCTTGATTTGATGATTGATAAATTTCTTGCAAATATATTTCATTTTTGCTCGCATTCTGCAAGATTTTGTAAATTTCAAAAGCTTTCTCATAAAGAAAGGGCGAAAGAATCGGCTATTAGAAGGGAGCCGACGTTAACGAAGGTAAGCTTGTTTTAAATATTGATTTTATAATTGCTTTAAAACCCGACGGCCTTTGGCCTTTTGCGTATATGAAACAACTAAACAAGACAGCATATAATTTCAGTGTATTATTAATATTGATCCATTTTTTATTATATTGAATTTTTTAAATAAAAAAGAAAGCGAAGTTATTTGCATACAAGAATTTGACAAATAGAGACCTCTGCCAGCAGGGAAAGTTTATCGATAAAGCCATTTAATTAAAGGCAGTTTTAATGTACTATTTAAAAAACGAGCAGGAGTGTTTTATTAGGTTTAAAGCCACGAGCGCGCAGCGCGAGTGGCTTTAGACCCAATAAAACACGACCTGCGAATTTTCTAAATGGCTTCAAAAACGTTTGCATAATAAGTTAAATCTTTATATACACGACCTGCGAATTTTCTAAATGGCTTCAAAAACGTTTGCATAATAAGCTGAAATCTTTATATAAAAATCTTTATATAAAAATCTTTATATAAAAATCTCTATATAGTTTGCATAACAATGGTCTTTTGTTAAAGTGTTCTTTAGCTGGTATAAAGACGTATTTGCATAACAATGGTCTTTTGTTAAAGTGTTCTTTAGCTGGTATAAAGACGTATGCACGTGACTAATTTCTTACTCAAGATTGGATATTTAATTGCTTCATGAATTATTAATGAGTTTTTGAAAGTTTTATAAAGAACACTTTAAAACGTTTTGCGAAACGTTTGTGGTTGAATTTACCTTAAATTGAAGCTTATATTACGTATAACAACATTCCTAACATATATATGTTGGGAAATTGATAATTTTGTAATTAAAAGTGATATTTTTAGGCGATTTTTTATTTGTAAGAATAGTCTTAAAAAATTATCGTGTTACCATGACAACTACTTTAGATATTTCATGTTCGGAAAATACAATGGTTTTGTCAGCAAGGCGAGGGTTTCTGCATACATGTATTTTCTAGTTTTACAATATTTTCGAACCCTTCATTTACGTTAAATTTCTGCTTTTTCAAAACAGAATACAAAATTCCGGAATATCACTTTAGAATGTCAAAATATTCTAAATATTTATTGTTTCTTCATTAACATATTCTATTCTATAATTCCACAAAGTAAGAAGTAAGAAAGACCCACAGAATTTACTTACATCACACTTAATCTTGTTACAATCAATGTTATTCTTATCAATTAAAAGTACGGGTTATGAGTCAAAGATCAGTTCATAATGTGAACTCTAAACAGGTCCTGGCCACTCACATCGACAATACTTTGACTGAACACCATTTTGTGCGGGAATACCACGCATCAAGTAACGACATCGAAGCTCTCTGAGACGACCTTGAGCATCTGCTACGTCAGTCGTGTTGATGGAACTCCACAATCTTTCAGAGATAGCTAAGGATCTTGGCCAGCTTCTTGAGAGAAGGTTTGTTCCATCCACCCACTCACCCCACATACACGTTGTTCCACCAAGTACAAGCTTCTTCTGTGCACTTGTTCCATGAAATGCAGTCGGTTCAACACTATAATATTTTGGCCAATCATCACCATATGAAATGTAATTCAAGTACCATGGTGAAGAACGTACAACGTTCAAGTTCTTTGCTGTAACTTTAGCCATTTCATCTTGCCAACCACTTTTCCAAACATTAACCACGGTATCAGATTTCACAGTCACTTCATTATCAATCACTTCTTGCCAAATGATATATTTCTTATTCAAACCACCAACAATATCAATTAACTTTTGTTCATAATACTGTTCAAGAAGTGAGAAATTCTTGCCAAATCCCATTTTGTCCATCCAAGCCAGTACATCAGGATTGCTCTCCCAGCAACTGAACGACACTTCATCTCCGCCCAAGTGAATGTAGTCATCGAAGAAACGATTGCCTATTTCTTCAAAGAATGATTTAAGGAAGGTGTAAGTGGAATTTAATGTGGGGTTGATAGGACCATAAGTTCCAGTTGGTTTTCCACCAGAATAACATGGTGTAAGAAGATCTTTGATGCTGACCCATGACTGCGTGTGTCCAGGTGTGTCAAACTCAGGTACTACACGAATACCACGCATTCGACCATACTCAATAACTGCAGCCACATCATCTAATTTATAAATATGCGTGACGTTGTTATAAGCACCGACATTGCTGAGTGAGGGAAATTTTTCACTCACAAATGGAAATGATTGATCATCAACAATATGCCAGTGCAAAATATTATACTTAGCATATGCCAATGCATCAATATGACTTAATATCACACTGACATGTATAAAATGTCTGGATGTATCGATAAGAAAACCGCGGTAATGAAATCGAGGGAAGGCATTAATTTTGCCTTCTCGAGCCAGGTAATCTAATAATAACATTTAATATCCATCTTTGGTTAAAAAAGTACAATGGATTTACAAGAAGTGCTAAGGTTAAAATTGATAATGGTTAAAAAAGTACAATGGATTTACAAAAAGTGCTAAGGTTAAAATTGATAAGAAATTTTACTATTATTTACATCAATGTTGCTAAAAATGTTTATACTAGTTATATATTCTATAAAATTAATTTAGGACTGTTTTAAAAGGGATATAGCTCTAGGTATAAAGGATTGCCTGTGTCTTTTAGTATACGATACAACATATGGTAGATTATTTGTTGTTCTTAGATCGTGTTCATGGGTATAAGGTTGGGGGATAAGTTTATTACATGGGTTGGTCGGATCACTTAGAATTCTTTGGTATTCCTTAATAGTTAGGTGTGCCCTTCTTTGTTCTAGCGTTTCAAAGTTGCACCGAGATGTGCCGAGGATTTTGATGCATCTGTTTTGAATGCTCTCTATTTCATCAATGAGATATTGTGGTAAACCACCCCATATCGGAGCTGCATATTCTAAAACAGGTCTAATCTTGGATTCATAACATGTAATGCCGACCTCAGGAGGAAGATTCGCCCTACGGCATTCTCTCAGACTAAACATTCGTTTATTTGCTTTCCTTACAATGTTCTTAACATGACAGTTCCATTTCAAATTGTTTTGATGCCAGACACCCAACAGTTTATGAGAATTTACTCTTTCCACTACCTCGTTTCCAATGACCAATGGTTCTGGTGCCGGTATTGCTGTGTTAAAACATATCCACATATCTTTTGTTTTCTTCGAATTTATCGTCATTTTGTTCCTATTAGACCATTCTTGTACTGCTTCAAGGGCCTCCTGCATATGGCTGGATGAACCTTGTGACACCACTTCGTCCTGTGTACAATCATCCGCGTATTTGCATATGTTTATGGATAATCCATTTGGGATTGAGTTCTCAATATCGTTAATGTGAATATTAAAAAGAGCGGGGGACATCACAGAACCTTGTGGGACTCCTGCAGGACAAGGTTTGACCGATGATAGGGTTCCTGCTAGTTTGACCTGTTGTCTTCTATCTTCCAGAAAACTACGCGTCCATAGCCAAAAGGCTTTGGTTACATTCATTTCTGCGAGCTTACGAAGTAGAATTCCGTGGTCAACAAGGTCAAACGCTTTGCGAAAATCTATGAATAGTGCATGAACTCCATTTTTGGCGCTATGAGTATTGTCGGTCACATTAAACCAGTTCTGCGAGATGTTGGTGAGTGCGGACACGGTTGATCGTTTGCTTGTAAAGGCATGCTGATTATCATTTATACGTGAACTGGGAAGGTTCAGTTTGAGCTGCAGCTTTTCCAGCACTTTAGCCATTTGGGGAAGAATGGATATCTGGCGAAAGTCATTCTCTATATCTCTTGGTGGATTGACCTTCGGAACTGGGATAACTAAGGCGTGTTTATACGCAGTTGGATATTCACATTCTTTTATACTGGCGCAAATAATGTCATGAACGATGGGCGCTAGTTCTTCACAGTATCGTTTAAGCACCCATGCTGGAATCCCATCGGACCCGGTGGCTTTTTTAGAGTTTAGTTGTTTCAAGGCAGTCTTAACCTGTCCAATTGAGGGAGTAGGAGGATTTTCTTGCCTCAGTGATGACGCTACGTCTTCAAGACTAGGGATTATGGTTTCAGGAAGTTTTGACCATGGTTTAGTAAATATATTCTGCAGTATTTCCACTGTATCGGGAGTGCTGTCTGAGATTAAGTTGTTGTTTAGATTGTCACCTTCAAAGCCAGCTAACTGGGATATCGTTCTATGCCATTTTGCTGCATCGTGTTTGCGTTTGCTTTTGACCTTAGATGAATAAAATTCTGCTTTAGCTTTCTTGATAAGTGTAATGATCTTATCAGCCAATTGTCTATATTTGGTCATGTTCCGAGTAGTATAGGCTTTTTGCCTCGCTTTAATCTCTTTTTTGATATAAGCCGTCATCCATGGCTTGTCAGACGCATGGGTACGTATCGTGGTTACAGGTATTGTTTTATCTAATATGTCTATCATAGTATTTGTAAAAAGACTAACTTTGTTATTGATATCTCGAGCCTCAAATATTGATTTCCAGTCCTCAAGGTTTAATTTTAAGCCGAGTGCATTTAGGTTACATGGTTTCGTTAGGCGCACTTTTCGAGTAGAAGGCTTCACGGTTTGTATTGTTCTGGGACTATACAACAAACATTGATGGTCAGAGCGACCAACTGGAGGCAGGTGCACCACTTCTTTATATAAATCTGACATGTTCGTTAGTATTTGGTCTAAAACTCTGGTGCCTCTTGTCGGTGCTTTTACAGACTTCTTCAAGTTAAATCTTCTGCATAGTCTACTCAGCTTCATTTGATTGAAGTCTCCCATTATGCATACACCAGCAGACGGGTAATCTCGTAAGACAGAATCAAGTCCCCTAGTAATATACTCAATCAGTTCTCTTTCACTTTCTGCCGACTGCCCTGGGGGGAAGTAAACGCCAACTGCCACTATAACGCTAAAAGGCCTAGGGGTTCTGGGGGGTTTAAGAAGCAGCCATAGGACCTCTCTGTTATCTTCTTCTAAATTTTTTGCCATATTCATCTTGGTATACAAGTTGACTAAATGTTTCAAGTCCTCGCAAAGCTCCCCAAGTTGTGTTCTCGGTTAAACTTGATGCTAGAGCACTCACTGTTAGTGCATATGATTCATCACTTTCAAATGTCATAGGTGCATACTTTTTTTTCACTGTAATTTCCAAGGACGTCAGCGCAGATAGATCACGGCGAAATCTGAGCACATTCGAGTGAATCTTGTCAGGAAATGTAAGACCACGATATCTTTCCATTGCAGCTGTTAAAACATCACTTCCCTCGCCTGTTGATGTGAATTTAAATGTGCCTGGACTCAACGAGAATGTTTCTTCACCAACCGTATGTTGTTGTGGTTTGGGCAAGATAGAGCCACTTACATAACCATCAGGACCTAAATGCACATTCTGTCTGCCACAGTTCACTGCATTTTCGTGCGGCGAGGAAGGGTCCGAAGGATTGCACTGTTGCGGTACTTCGACAGCTTCACAACCAAGTATGAAAGCACATTAATGACTAGCACAGTGTGTGATTATGACCATATCATTTTTCGGTGTCAACCGAAATTTATGACCTTTGCGAAATGTCTGACAAAGCGTGACATAAACCACTTCGCACGTATATACTCGATCGAACACCGCCCCCGAATGAGCGTCCCGTCCCTCCTCGACATAATATTTTTTTAAAGCTCCGCTCCCGAATGTGCGCCGCACTAATTAATTTCAAATGCGGCGCTTAATCAAATCCCTTTCAATGCGACGAATTTACATCTTCTGATGTCGAGAAAGCATGTCCAACAATGGTTACTATGCAGCAGTTGGACTCGGATCATGAAGAGGACAGTGACATTGACTCTTTGTAAACTTGTAAACAGTGTAAAAACTTTCCTCCGTCAAAATGGGGAGATTTGGCGACAAAGAATTTAAAGAATTTAAATTTTAATTTAAGTAAAAGATTTTTTAAAGAGCGCCGCCCCCAATTGAGCGCCGCCCCTGAATGAGTGCCGCATCTGAAACTCTGATAATTTAAAGAGCGCCGCGGCGCTCAAACGAGTAAATACGGTAGTCGCTCAAGTCTAACAACGCAAGTTTTTTACTAAATTTTCAGACAAAATTTAAGACGAGACACTGTGCCTGTGACATTTTTTATTATCCTTTTTGGAAAACATTTCAAAAGCCAATATAATCAGGCCTTGATCTCAAACTGCGAAAAAGTTCAAATACATTATATAAAATACAAACATATGCAAGAGAGAAATTTCTGTCACTAGCATTCATTCAGTGACGAAACATCTTCAAAGAGTCTATCATGCCGAACTGTTTTATTTTTTCGATGCTTAAATAAAACCGGAACTATTACTTAATTAATTTACGTTAGTCCATTCCCCCCCCCCCCCCCCCTCCCCACACACACACACACACACATTATAGGGACTAAAGCGAGCGTTACGTCCGGTGAATGTTTAATGAGATATCCACTATACCGAAACATGCCTATAAACACGCATTGGTAGCAATTTTGTATCGAGTATTGTTTGCTCCGGATTTCTTTTTAACTTTCGCCTTCAGACATTGTTGACATTTTCGAAACTTTCGGCTGCCTAGTCCCGTGTGGTGGCACATAACTTGAATTTTTTTGGTGTGACGCATAGAAATTTTTAAAGGAGTATTCGCAGTTTTCTAACAACCTTTCCATTGTCTTTATGTGATGATCTTCTTTCTCCACTTCAGATAACGCCTTTCCAAACTGGCAATCGATACCATTGACAGCCAATCTCCCGAATTCCATGATAAAATTCGTGATAGTTGCGCGATTTTCGATATTACACGGATATTTTCGCTCAGTCACTATTATCGTATCGGCCGATAGGCGGTAGAACTGACGATATACTATAAAAACAATTATTGGATGAGGCTGAGCATGATATCAAGAATTATTCAGACCGAAGTTAAATGCATGTTATCTACCGAAGCGAAGCTGAGGCGGATATAACATTGACCGAGGTCTGAATAATTCTTGATGTCATGCGAAAGCCGAATTCAATAATTGTTTTATTATACATTTAAAGACACCAGAAACGTATAAAAAAATTAAACGAAGTTTATTAATGTTTCAAGTATATTTATTTTATTTTCGCGCGCTTTTGGGTTTGAGTTGTTAGCAATAGCCGCGCCGGGGATTGGGGATTGGGCACGACAGCGTCCAATAATTTTTTGGATGCACGTTTTTAACGCTGAGCACGTCGGCAGCTGAGGTTTCGTGATAAGTACCGAATACTGAGAATTATCCGGTGCTCTCTGACCAATTAGGAACGAAATCGTGATATTGTTTCGCATGTGTAAATATAGTCGTTTTATTGCATATGGTTTTTTAAAACCGAAAAAGTCTTTTTAGTTTCTTTACTCTTTAGTTGGAAGAATTGAATCCATTTTCTGAAAGACTATTTATTTCTAAGATTTATTTCTAACTTTTCTAAGGTAATATCGTGACAATAATTTTAATCTTCGCTTGGGCTCGTCTAGTCTGCATGTGGGATTTCTCTCCCTCATACCACCATTTTCGAGCTTCCGTGAAGCGTGCATTTATAACTACGGTTCAAAACGTTTCTTCAGCATGAGTTTGTCAATCACAACTTTTTGTTTTGCAATAATAACTTTTGTGGGCGTGGTGTCAAGCACATTGTTTTGCACGCGAAAACTTAATAACTTTTGTGGGCGTGGTGTCAAGCACATTGTTTTGCACGCGAAAACTTCTTATTTTTCACACGGACTGACTTTATACTGACAAAATTGCTATAGAAATCGAAATAACAGATTTATAGCACCTTCTGATTATGTTTACGTAACAAACCTCTGTAATACAAGTGTCCTTTTGAGTTTTGACGCCGAAATTCAAAGTTTCGCGTGCAAAACAATATGTTTTATACCACGCCCACAGAAGTTATTATGTCAAAACAAAATGTTTTAGGAGCGAAATAAAATGTTTTGAATGACAAACTCATGCTGAAGAAACGTTTTAAAGCTAGTTGTAAATGCACGCTTCACGGAAGCTCGAATATGGTAGTAAATCGCCGTCTTCATGACTGACATCTAGTTGCCCCTAGCCTCAATATTGAAAAATAATAATAATCCTCAATATTGAAAAATCCTCAAAATCTTCAAAAAATCAAGTGGCTGCTACGCAGGCTAAGTTGCCCCGATTACGCATCATCTGAATCATTCTCTTCTATGATGGCATAATCTGATTCGAATTCATCCTCGTTTTCCTCTGAATTCCCTTCCACACCAGTACTACCAATGCACTAGTATCAGTGGTGCCTAAATTACTTTGAATTTGTACTCAAGTAAAAGTAGAAGTAATTAACAATAAAACGACTTGAGTAAGAGTAAAAAGTACTGGAGGCAAAACGTACTTAAGTAAAAAGTGCAAAGTATCCTTAAAAAATACTTGAAGTACAAAGTAAAAGTAAAAGTACTATTGTCTGTAGCGTGTAAGGGGGGGGGGACTACTCCAATGGATTGAAATACAAAAGACACAAAACGGCACACGCATTATATGCGTGCACCATAATATATAATATTTCACGGCATGATTTACTTTCCAAACCCCGTTGAAGATATAAGAAATCCATTAAATAAATAATGCTTGCATGTAAGTAACCCACAAACGAGAGATCCCAGACGCATGTAGAGGTCCTATTACCTATCCCAAAATTAGAATAAATCGGGATAAATCACATAAAATTAAACAAATGTGAGAAAGTAACGAAATACTTCGCCACAAAATGAAAATAACGAAGTAAAACGTTACTTCTTAAAATGACTTCGTTCCAAGTAAAAGTACTCCACAAAAAGTTTACTTTGTTACATGCTCACTTCTCAAAAATAGTACTCAAGTACAGTAACGAAGTACATTTACTTCGTTACTTGACACCACTGACTAGTATCGTACGTGCATGTTGTTGCTCCAATTGTCCATCATCTGAGTCACTCCTTTTTTCGATTACATCATCTGATTCATTATCGTATCGTTTTTATCAGAGCCACTATTTTCCACATCAGTGTCAAGTGCATACCAGTATGGCTTTGGCTCGAGAGGAATGGTAGGAGATGGTGTTAAAAAAGGGCATAGGGGACCTCTGGTGAACCGATAATCCTCCGCAAGGAATCTTCCGTATGACTTTGTACAGGTTGCTTTAGCGAGGTTGAGGCTCCCACAAGGATTTTCGTAGATGTAATTATCAAATTCTGAAGTTTATTTTGCAACCAATCTTGATCTTGGAGCTGGTTGGATAGTATATTTTGAAACGCTTGAAATTGATGAAATTCATTGCAATAAGGTGCATTTTTTCATCTGGTGTTGTTAACTGAGGCGAATGCATGATATTCTCCATTTGTTGTTGCGTGTTGTACATGGCGTTAAGAATGGAAGGTTGTCCATATGATTGCTTTTGGATATATTCGTTGACTCGTACCAATATAGAAATCTGTTGCTTGTCCCAAGCAGATTTGAAGAATTCTATATAGTGAGTATTCAGACTAATGTTTCTGGTTTCTTTGCCTTGATGGAATATATTTTGAACACTATATAATTATTACAGACAAATTTCGGATCAGGTTACATTGAGATAGATCAAGAAAATAATCAGAGTCAATTGCGGAGGGTGTACTTCCTAAAATTCAATATCATGTATAGGTGGATGGTTGTCTTGGCATTCTCCTGAAGCGTTTTCACCAATACAGTATTGTAACTCTGTGCGCAACCACTGCCGATCCGTTGACGTGAGCGACTGGATTGGTGAAAGTACTTTCCTCATGTACGTTCTTTTTATGGCGTTGCATCTTGAATGTCGAATATTGTTTCACGCCAATATCACAGATATGAGACATATTAGACAAGACGTTTTAGTAAAGATCAAAAGAAAACTGTTCCTTTCAACAGATATTCACATTATTTATATATTTCCTCCTCCTCCTTTTCTTCTCCTCCAACTTTTCTCCTCCACTTTTTCTTCTACTTCTCCTCCTCTTCACTCTCTTCTCTTCTTCCTCCTCTTCTTCTCCTCTTCACGGCCTTCTCTTCCTCATCTTCTCTTCCTCATCTTCTCTTCCTCCTCTCCTCTTCTATCCATTCTCCTCGTGGGGAAAATGAAGTTTTGCAATCAAGCCTAAACAAATATATCCAAAAAGCAATCATACGTCAACTTCCCATTCTTAACGCTATGTACAACACGCAACAACAACATGAAGACGAGCCAAGGCAAAGATTAAAATTATTGTTACGATTACACCTTAGAAAAGTTAGAAATAAACCTTACTAAATTTGTATATACGTTTAAAACGAAATATCCGTGAGTTTATTTAATCCGTCGCGGTTTCGCTATATAATATTAGGCCTACCTTCAGTTTCACTCCGTTTGCTGAGTGCGTGAGCTTGTCCGTGAGTCACAGCGTGATCAGCCACACTCGTCAGACTCGCTCGGCCAATCAGAACGTAGCGGCATCCCTTTGATGCGCTATAGTGTGTGTGTGTGTGTGTGTGTGTGTGTGTGTGTGTGTGTGTGTGTGTGAGGGGGGGGGTGTCATCTGCTAATGTTTCAAATTTAAACAAATTGCTCTTTCCACATAATATATTGACTTTTTACATTTTCGTCATTTAGCAATATTGCCTAACTTTTCGATAGAAATATAAAAACAAATCTCTTTGGTGTGAAATTTGTAATGAACAACTATCTTACTATTTCTAAAGGTTATTTTACTATAATCAAGGCTTAGCACAGAAGATTTGGCAGGATCTTACATCTCACGCCACCTTCCTTAGTGCATGGAGTTACACTTTTGCATGTAAAAGTTGGGAAAGCATGTTGGGTTTATTAGATTAAATTTTGAAACAAATCATTTTTCTTTTTGTTGATAAGATTCCTGCAAGTCGGCTGATGTCAACTTTGGTGGTATGAGTGTCACATTCAATTGGTTTGTGATATTGGTGATGCTACTTGGAACATTTCTGTTGTAACTCAACGAGAGCTAGGATATACTTGCTTCAAACTTTCTTTTCACTTTAGATTTTAAAACAAATTAATATTTGTCATTTTTGTTAGCGTTTGTTAGCAAACTATACCAATAAAAATATATCTGAAATATATATTATATAGATCTCAAAATTCCATAAATCTGAGATAAAGTTTCGCCTGTTTTAAAATGTTTTAACCAATCTGTTTTCACTGTGAAATAGATGTTTCAGGGGTGGATCTTAGGAGTCGGGGAGAGACCGGAGTAGGTTACAGCGTTCAAGTGTATTTGTTATTGCAATGCTTTCGATCTCCGGATCGTAATCAGCATTATATATTATTATTAGCAGTATCATGAAAACCAAACATGAGATCGAAAGATTTGCAATAGCAACATTACATGGTGTTTTCACAAACCAAGCCAAACATTATCGCCAAGAAAAGTAACAAGAACTTAATTATAATGCCCATTCCTGGGGATTTGTTTGGCATCTCTTGAGGTCAGGCATTTTTCTGTAGGTCCTTCTAGGGGTGTCAGGAATTTGTTGTAGAGGCTACAATAAATCTTTTTACGGTATTTTATCTGTCTCGTCCTCAGGCGCTATAAAACGATTTCGCATACGAGTCACTATATAAACAGTTTACATGAAGTAGTGCGTCATTATAGGCGCGCAAAGGCGTTCTGCTTAGCTCGTTCTGATTGGCTCCTCAATTTTCGCTGCCTCAAGCCCAGAAACCCCTGCGCTTGTTCGTCGCGATGTACTACTTCATGTAAAACTTTTATATAGTGACCCGTATGTGAATTTTTGTATTAGCGCCTGGGAATGAGGCAGGTGTTTTATTATGAATATAGATGTTCATGATTCATCAATAAAATGTTACTCTGATACGTTCTTCTGATTTATATTAAATATAGATGAACTGGACCCATTTATCACAGTGTAAAATGAAGCATGCATTCCATTGTATAGCCTGCGAGCAGGCCCAAGGGAACTTGATAGTGGGCCTGCAACCATCACCCCATGTTTTCGATTTTTGCCGGCCGAACCGCCGGCTAAATTCCCATTGGCTAGCTGAGGCCAGGGCATTTTTTAACTATATAACTGGGGGGGCCAAAGCCCCCCCAGCCCCCATGGTGGCCCCCCCACTCAACCATTTTGGCCCCCCCAGTCAAAGTCCCTTTTCTCTAAAATATAAGCAAAACATGGAATTTAGAAGGGAGGTTTGATATTCGAGTAACTGAAATTTGCTTTGTGAATCTTATGTCCTGTCTTTTATGTTTAATAAATACCTTATTAGATTTTAAACATTTCCCAGGCAGTGGATTGCATTTCCCAGACCCTATAGATTTGAGTTGTTGGACAAGTTAGTGACCGCAGGGGACAACAGGCCCCTCAACTAAGTGTTTTATAAGGGGGGGGGGGGGATAATTTTGACCCCCCACCAAAAAAAACAATTTGATTTCGAAACTAGAAGTATTTGAAATCATATATACATATAATCAAATATCTGTAATCGATATTTTGATAACATTTCTCGTAATAATCCATCCTGACTCGCGGATATCATAGACTCACAAATCATAATGAACGAATTAATGAAAGGGCCAAACAAAAGACGTATAGAAGACTTTGAAAATGCCATTTCCGATGATTTAGAGACGCAACATTTTCAAAATTTTTCCGCTCTGTGCCAACCATGGTGGCGCTTCGTGGGAGTCGGGAACTCTAAGTTTATCAAGCTGGCTCCCTAAGTGACGGCCAAGTTGTGGTATCTACATATAAAACATACTATGCAAGTACTTAACTGAAGGTTCAGTCTATCTACAGCATAATGTAATGCTGTATATCCAAAAATCTGTTTCAGAAAATGCAGGGAATTGCAGTCATAGGGGTAGAAAAATACAAAATTTTCTGGGGGAGAAAACCCCAGACCCTCTCCAGGGCCGTAGGGTCATTCATTTTTCAAAATCATGCAGACCTTTATTATTTAATCCATGACAAACTGTAAAGAATGAAGATATTACCCATACTCTCTTGCAACTTATCCAATATATCGTTAATTAAATACACCTTCGTCCATTTAGTACTACTGAATTCTAAATTTCCACATACTAAAAACACTGTTTTCTGACAATCAGAAATCCACCAAATTTTCCCCAAAGTCCAGGAAATGGCATTTCAGAGACTCTAAATTTAAAAATTTCCTCGGGCCTTCGGCCCTCGCTTTCAGCCCCCCCCCCCCAAACGAAAAGAGCTTCCTACGGCCCTACTCCCCCCCTACTATTAAATGCGATACCACACCAAACATTTTGTTACCAACAAACCATCTATCATTGCTCCACACTTGGTATAGTATGGTCCCTTTTTGTAGATGGCCCCCCCACTGACGAATTCTTAAAAAATGCCCTGCCGCTAAGACCGTGCTAGTATTCCCTCCAATCGGTTCCTGTTCGAAATTGTACAGGGAAGAGATGTTTCCAATTTGTCATTATCAAAAACTGTTTTTACTCTTTATGGGAAATTAATTCAAATGGGATCTCGCAAGTATTACGCTACTTTTACTTCTTTACGTGTTGTAATTAGTACTTTAATGACGCGGAGGGAAACTGCAGATAACTAGAGTAAGTTTACGTGTTCTTCATGAAGGAGAATGCGTAAGTTTACGTGTTCTTCATTTTGAGGCGAAAGCACAAAGAGAAATGCTTGTGGACAACTTGTGGAAAATTAATGCTTGCTGAGATCGACGTATGCCATCTTATATACCATGACGCGTATGATTTATATCACATGTACAAACAGAAGAGCCCATCTGTTTTTAAAATAACGATGCTGAAAGAAATTTGTGTGCATTTTGAACTTCAGTTCAAATCAAAGGATAAAATACAGACTCTCATAGATAAAATACCATCCATGATTGGGCAATGCACATGTTTCCACATAAATAACTAAACTGTGCAGGTGCGGACAAATACTCCCAGACTAACTTGGACATGTCGAGAGATGTCATTGTTCTAACCCAAATTAAGCACTATAAAAAACACCGCATGCAAACTACGATGTTATGTATTTTTTATTGGTATAATTTATACTATTATTATGAGACAAATCAACTTTTGCTGAAAAATACCAATTGAAGTTGAAAGTTATTCACAGAATGGCGATTAGCTGCAAACTACTGAAAAAATTATTATTGCTGTATAGATTAAAAATAAAGGACAGATCTCAGTATACGTCGCAGCTAGTCAATGTCAATGCAACTAAGATCGTTTTATAAGATGAATTGAATGGTTTGCATGAAAGGACAAAAATTCTCACAAATGGGCAATGCGGAAAACTTTTAACAGAATATAATAACTTCATGGATTCAATTTATTAATTCGATGCGACGTTAATTACGGCAACACACATTTACGACATTGACATTGTCCGATCATGAGGGATACAACGTCCTAGACGAATTTATTTCTTCTGACCGTTTTAGACCTCAAAGATCCGTCGCATTTCATCGATCGAATTAAACTTTTCTGAGTTAAATACAATGATTGTGCAATATATTAGTCACTATAAAAACTCCGCGAGCAACCTTGAACGTGTTTCCGGTTATCACAAAGGCATATGACAAAGGTAAACAATAGAGCTATTTATAGCCATAATTTATGAATTTTGCACTCCTTCATATTCCTTTTGCCGACAAGTTTTATTGCGAATAACATAACTTTAAGTATTCTACTTTAACCCTAAAAGTGTTTTAGAC